CTAAATTCACCATTCTTGATTTTACTTGGTTTGCACAGGAAGACTTTCTGGCAGATTGCGACCCATAGATCTGTTCAGTTTCTGACCATTTCCACAGTAGTGAAATTCCCTGCTTTGATTTTTTTAAAACTGTGTGTTATGTGAAATTTTCCGCAGTAAATTTTTTCTCAGCAGGTGCATACCCAAAGTTTTCTCTTTCTTACCTTGCATTTTCAGAATCCCCAGTTTCAGTGAGTTCCAAAAATGTGAGGTAAGAAGGAGAAAACTTCGGGTTTGTACCTGGTGAGGAAAAATCTACTGAGGAAAATTTCACATAATGTGCAGTATTAAAAACATCAATGTGGGAAATTTCACTACTGCAGAAATATCCCCAGTCACCCTCGGTGATGCCTAAGAGCCTCCACCAGGGGAGGCTTTTTTCAGTTTGCCTTATGGCAGGGCTGCTGCTGCCCACCCAAACTGTATTTACAGTATAGCTTTATTTATTTATGTTCAAATATTTATATCCCGCCTCTCAATGTAAACAAGATCTGTAAGTTAAAAATAGTAATAGCATCTACTAACCAAAACAAAAAACCCACCAGTGAGCAATGATTGCAATAACAGGTGTAGCAGCACAAAAACAAGTTAGGTAACAGTGACAATTAACTAATTAAAACCTGATTAACTTGAAAGGCTCAGGAGAATTTGACAACCTTCATCTGACATTTAAAAATCAGCACAGCAAGCACCAATAGATGTTCCTTTGAATAATATGCCACAGTAGAAGCACCGTGGGGAAAGGGCCCTGTCTCAGCTGTGTAACTTTGAAAAGGGGGTGTCATTGTGACAGTCACTGTTCTCACAGATTCTCTGTTTAGCTGTGTCACCACAACCCAGTATCCTAAGCAGGAAGTATCAACAATAGCAGATATCACGTCCACAAAAGAGATACAGAGATATCCCAGATCCACTTGTACAAAATAACTGGGCCAGCTAGCAGAGTAACTGATGAACGGCTTTCCCCACACTTTATACTGGTGAGGAGAAGAGCCCCCGCCCCCCCAGTTTCCTGCTGGAGTTAAGCCAGCATCGGTTTAGGCATCAGTTTTTAAAGACGCCTTGGAGGCTCCATGTCTTCTGTTTCCGACTATTGCTGTAGGAGTGAAGAAGGCTGAATCCTGTTCCCCATCCCACTGGCAACAAGGTGTTTTAGATTGCTAGGGCATGTATCCAATTAGCTGTTGTAGTTATATTTTTGTCTTTGTGGACTTTGAGTCCTTTTTGGCTGTCAAATTAATCTGTAGAAAAATTCAGGTGAGTAGCCGGGTTGGTCTGAAGCAGCAGAACAACGTTTAAGACCAGCAAAGTTGAATAAAATTAAAATTTGAATAAAATTAATCTATACTTATTCTTGACCCTCCCCGCGGCCACCCCGCGCTTCCTACTTTTGTTACCCAAGTTAACATATTTGTATTTTCATAGAATAAGATGTTACCTTTTTTTTTTTTTTACTGAGCTTTCTGCACATACCCCACAGTGCTCTCAATGTCACTCTTTCAGGGAAACAAATTTAGGAGTCCAGTGGCTCCTTTAAGACCAACAAAGTTTTATTCAAGCTATGAGCTTTCTTGTGCATGCCACTGGACTCTAAATTTGTTCTACTGCTTCAGACCAACACAGCTGGCCACCTGGATTGAACTCCTTCAGGGAAGCAAGGAAGAGGTTCACTTTCTGACCTGTTGTCTTTCTCTGCTCAAGCTAGTTCAGACAAACTTGTATCCACGGTCCTGAAAGAGAAGGAAGAAGTGGAGCCATGGATACCATTTTGGGTGGCAAGGAATAAAGCCTCCCCTCCCCAGCCTTTGAGAGGGCCCCCCACACACACACTGCTCAGATGCAGTTCAAGCCTTTAGGGCACCAGAGCGGGGGAAGCTCAGAGATTTATGTATAACATCTTGATGGGGCTTGAAAATTATCCATTGCCTGCAAACGTAATTCGCAACAAATTTGCTCTCAGGGAACCTTTTCGCTTTTGGAGGCACAGTGCACAGGTGTAAAATTTTTCGCCAGAGAAAAAACTTTTTTACAGTAAGAGTAGTTCAGCGGTGGAACCAGCTGCCTAGGGAGGTGGTGAGTTCCCTCTCACTGGCAGTCTTTAATCAGTGGCTGGACAAACACTTGTCAGGGATGCTCTAGGCCAGTGATGGCGAACCTTTTAGAGACCGAGTGCCCAAACTGCAACCCAAAACCCACTTATTTATCGCAAAGTGCCAACACGGCAATTTAACCTGAATACTGAGGTTTTACTTTAGAAAAAACAACTCATACATTAACTTAAGATGGTCCAAACAAAGTAAGAAAAGCAATCCCAAATGCTTTCATTTACTTAAAATTATTTGGCAGAGAATTCAACACTTTAATGATGGTCTGGGCCTGGCTGGGGCGATGGCACGCGTGCCCACAGAGAGGGCTCTGAGTGCCACCTCTGGAACCCGTGCCATAGGTTCCCCACCACTGCTCTAGGCTGATCCTGCATTGAGCAGGAGGTTGGACTAGATGGCCTGTATGGCCCCTTCCAACTCTGCGATTCTGTGAGTCTAAGTTTTACTGGGCTTTTTATTCTCACAGCAATGGATGAAAAACGTTTTTTATAGTTTTTTAATTGGAGAAGATAGTGTGTTCCCGTTTCTGATGCACTCTGTTTGGCAAAAGTTAATTGATAGCCTTGCTGTGCATATGGGGTGAAAGGGAAGTGGCAGAATGGTGTTGCATAAGGAGGGAGGGTCAAACATATTGTTAGGGCAGCTCAGCACAACTCCCCTGCTACACTCTGGCCCCCTTCGGTAATTTTCAGGGCAAGGAGGCTACAGCTGCCATGCAGACACACGTAACATACATACAGAGAGCTTGCGCACAACTCCCTTTTCTCCTCTTGTCTCTGCACCATCTAGATACTCCCTTTTGCTGAGCATAGCAGAGTTGCGGCATTTCTATAATCAGGAGCCAGTGTAGGGCTCAGAAAATGATCTGTGAACTAATCTCATCTCAGCCTGTGGGCTAAACTAGATGTGATGTTTTTAATGAGTTAGGTCAGGGTTTCCTCAACCCAACTCACATTGTCCTCAGTCAGACAGCAGCTGCTGAGAACTAATTTCTCAAAACAGGGGCCTGGTTCAGATTGGGACCATGGCACAAGGGACAAGGTGCTTCGACTTCTCCAGCACACCTTTTTTTGCAACTTACAAAGGGCCCCAAAATTGTTAATTTGCCTCATTGGGGCTCCATGTGCCCCGTGGGCTGTACTTGCAGCCCCACAACTGGGCAAACATGAGGCCTCTTTGGACTGGGGAAATGTTGTGGGGGGAATAGCTGAAGCCCCTTCCCCCCCCCCCAATGCTGCAATCTTGATCCAAATCAGGTCACTGCATCACTGAGAAAATTAGTTCCCAGGAGCTGCCATCTGACAGGTGAGGGGCAGGATGAAAGTTGGGTCTGGAGAATTCCAACCTGTACCTGAATGTGTTATGTGTAGGCTGGCCCCCCCGGCAAGGCTTTTTCTCTCTGTGCCTTAGTCCCCATTTGCAATAAGGAATAATAATACTGACCTATCTTATAGGGCATTTGTAAGGATTACTGAAATCACCTGTGACAGACATTGTTGGGAGACCAATGTAAGGTACATGCCCATGCAGTGGTTAGAATATCAGACTTGGGGTGTGGAGACCAGGATTCAGATCCCCAGCTATGAAGCTTGAGGGGGGAATTTGGGCCAGCTCCTCTCTCCCCGCCTGGCCTACCTCTCAGGTAGGTTGTACAAATATGCCCCCCTGAACTTCTTGGAGGAAAATCAGAATAAAAACATGAATGACATAAATATATGATCAGTAGCCCTCATGTTAAGTCTTAAATTACTGGATGGTAAGAGTGTCCCTTACTGAATCTTGCTAATCTACCTAGGTCATTTCCACCGAAACCTTAATTCATCTGGGGAAGAAACCGATTTATGTCTGGAAATAAACAGGTAGATAAATAAACCCATCAACTTCAATGGGTTTAGAAGGGTGTAACTCTACTTTGAAGGGCTCTGCATATTTCTGGTTTCGAGGCTGCTAGATGATGATGTCGTGGGAACATGTCGAGGCTGGAATCCACTGAACTTCTACCCTTCCCAATGTGGATGAGCCACCCTGGCCTGGTGCCTCCATAGAAGACACAACTAGACACAACCATTTTACTGCAGGAATTCTCTTGTGATAAAAATGCCACGGGCCAGATCCTGCTTGGGACCATGGCATTGGAGGGAGGGTCTCCTGGCCCCCCCCCACTGCTTTTCAAAACCCCAAATGCTCCAGGGATTTGGGTTCTTGAAAAAGTGCATGGAGAGGGAAACAGGAGCCCCTCCACTCCTTGCCATGGCCCCAAGGAGATTCTGGCTCCAGCAGCATTTTAAAACAAGAGAATTCCTGCACTAAAATGGCCATGGCATCCCTGGGTTGTCTAGTTCTGCCCAGAGTCAGGCAAGAAGTATTGGAAGACTATTGAAACAGGCGTATCTAACTCTGTGTTTTACTGAATAAAGTTTGAGTCCAGTGGAACCCTTAAGACCAACAAAGTTTTATTCAAGGTATAAGTTTTTGTGTGCAAGCACACTGCTTCAGATACACGGAAGCTTATACCTTGAATAAAATGTTGTTGGTCTTAAAGGTGCCGCTGAACGTAAACTTTGTTCTGCCACTTCAGACGAACTTGGCTCCCCACCTGAATCTGCTTTACTGCATGTCTACTGGCAATTTCTGGCATGTGCCAGGACCAAGAGTCTTCTGGGAAGCGTCTGAACCTTTGTGATGGCTCCAGCGATATCAGTGGGATGTTTGAAACGGCTTTGAAAACTCTAGAACTTTCAAACTCTGGCATAAAACATTTTGTTGAACCAGAGTTTGCCTGCAGGTCTGGCCCTGCCTGCCACCTCTGTCAGAGCTGGAGCTAAAAGTCTCTTGTTCTTCCTTCTCATCTTTCAGGGCAGCGATGATGACTTGGTGGATAAGAACAAGTGCTGCACACTGTGTAACATGTCCTTTACTTCAGCCGTGGTGGCTGAGTCACACTATCAAGGGAAAATCCACGCCAAAAGGTTAAAACTGTTGCTAGGAGAGCAGCCAACATTAAAGGCCACAGGTAGGTCCAACGATATTGAAGCTAAAGGGGTTTTTTTATTGAAGTTAAAGGGATGGAATGCTCTGTCTGTTCAGATTCTGACTTTGGATTCCCTGCTGAGCAGAAACAGGAGCGACTGGCGCTGTGTCCCGCCTGTCTCTGTCTATTTGGGACAGCAAATGGACAGCAAGGGAAGAAAATGGAACAAAAGCAGCTATTCATTGCTCCCTTTGCCATAGCAACCTTTTAAAAAAACCTGATGATGCTCATTATGGTTTCCTTTATTCCTCTAGATGATCATCAGCCCATCAGCCAAGCCCACTGGGCTCAGGCACGCCGAAAGTATCTGCATGTTCATGTTTTGTGATCATTTGCTTGCATGTTAGAAGTTGTTGCTGTCCCCTTTGGCTACGCATAACCAGTGCTGGATCTCCTTTAATTGACAGTTCAGTGAATTTATTTTTCTCCTTCCAGCATTTGCAGAGAGTAGACGGACCGTTTTGTTCTGAGCTCAAGTGTGTATGTGTGTGTGTGTGAGAGAGAGTGAAAGTGTATGTGTGTGTGAGAGAGAGAGATGGTATTTTTAAAAGCATTTTTACACATTGGTTGGTATCTTGAATTTTGCCTGCCATACACATCACTCAGGCACCAGTAACTTAGAACCTGTTTACTTTTACTTTTTTAAAAAGTCAAATGACAGCAGATAATTTAATCATCTTATTGTTTGCTGAACCATAAAATCCTTGCAAACCGCTAACAAAGGCAGAGAAGCTGAATTTTCTCCACTGCATCTGAATCCACAACAGAAAATGTTGTGATGAATATATTAATATGGCAAATAGGAATTACCAAAAAAAAAAAAAGAGAAAAAGAAAAAGAAAAGGAATCTTTGTGCTCCTCTCACTGACAAGGGCTGCTGAGAGGGAGCGACGGGCGGTAAAATCTTCAGGTGGTCTGCATCATCTTGGGGGCCGGAGGAACTGAGTGATGTCCCACTTCCTCAAAAGCCAGGCACCAGATGGAGGCTCAGGACAGAAATTTTACATGGCAACAACAGTCCCCAGGCTCCCTCTCTGCACTGGAAGGTAAAGAAGCAAGGAAAGAGGTGGTGAGAAATCAAAACAATCAAATTGAGGGCTTTGCTGGCAGAAGATGAAGCAAGTCTACTACAAATAACGCTGCAGGGAAGATAACTCTACACAGCCAGTCACCCCACTTCAAAGAAGAAGATGCTTGAGAGGAGACGGGTAGAGTGTAATGGCAGGGTCTCAGTTAATTACTCTCAGCATCCCACGTTTAACGATGCATCTGCCCATCAATCTCCAATTTTGATATATTTATTTCCTTCACTATGTTTCCCCCCAGAATTAAACCCAAACAAATGGTAACCATATAAACTAAGCTTGTTATTCCTGTTTGGCCCCCGAATCTGTTAAACATCTTCATTATGTTGTATGCTCATTTACTTTTCACCCTTTACCTATATGTATGGACTGGTAACTTCCATTTCACTGTATCTGAAGAAGTGTGCGTGGTTGCCACAAACAGAGGGCTCAGATATAAAAGTCCTCTGCAATCAGTTCGTACTCCCGATGAACCGATGGGACCAAGGAGAACCAAATGGACCCCGAAAAAAGCTCCAGAAGTTGGTGAGTCTCAGAGCCCTGAGAAAACTCAACCACGTCGCTGCCCTTTTGCCCTGCCTGAGCCAGCCGCCACTCATGCCGGGGACGCTGGCCACTGGCCGCAGTCTCTGATGCCCGACCACAGATGCGGTGCCAGGGCAAACGTGCCCCGCAATTCGAAGACACCATGGCAGAGTCTTGCCCCACCACCCAAACAGCCGTTGTGTCTGTCCTCTCCCGAGCACCCATAGCAAGCCGGGCTGCGTGCACCACCGAGGGGCCGTGGCCTGAGCCTGCCGCTGCCACTGCCCTCACCTGAACGCATGTCGTCACCCGGCCTCCGTGCAATCTGATGACGGGCGGCCTGGTTGCTTCAGTGTGGGGGGGGCTCACCCGATCCTGCCACCACCGCTGCCCTCACCCAATCCTGGCTACAGGCTCCCAGCTGCCCTGCGCCTGGATGACGGCTGCACCACCCATTCCAGCACGCGAGGGCCGCCTCCGGCCACACCTGATCCTGCTGCTGCCGCCGCCAACAACTACATGCAGCTGGCTAACCTCTCACTGGGCGGGGTCCAGCGTGCTGCCGGCCCTGAGGCTGCTGGAGGTCACCCAGCCACTCCCTCGCCCCCAACTCCAGGGGGGTCACATGGGGGGAATGATCAGGAGACTGGGAGGTGCCTCCATTGTGCCATGCTAGGGGACGTTGTCTTCCTCCACAACGGGCTTTGCTCCTAGTACCTTGAATAAAACTTTGTTGGTCTTAAAGGTGCCACTGGAGTCAAACTTTCTTCTGCTGCTGCAGGCATGGTTGGCTTTGACTCTAGTAGCACCTTAGAAAACAACAAGAGTTTCAGGGTGTAAATTTTCAAGAGTCAAAGATCCCTTGGTCAGATACAATAGAACAGAAGTGGAAATCTGAGTCCTTTTCTCCGAGGCAGAAAGTGTGAAGGGTGTTGTAATAAACCATCATCCAGTTGGAGTGTCTCTTTGGGGAAGGATAAACTGTGTGGATGATCTTGGCTTGCAACAAGGAACAATTCTTGGTTTACAACAGGAAGTTGGTTCCTGAAAAGAAGCAGAAGTTTATATGATTATCTGGTTTGAGATTGGGGGAGGTCAAACCAGCCACAGAAGCACTGTTTTAAAATGCGATGTATCTTGAAGTAGTTAATATTTGCCATTTTATTTCTTTATAAATATAAATCTTATGATTTGTTTTAAAATGTTGCTTTCTTACTAGGGATGGGCACAAACCAGAAAAAATTGGTTTGTGTCAGTTTGTGGTTCTCGGCCAAACCACAAACTGAACCACAACCTGAATCGAACTGGGAGATTCATTTCGTGAACTGAACGAGTTTATGATTCATAGCCCCGCAAACCCAGTTGAAAGGGACTGGAGTCATGAATCATGAACTGGAGTCCCTTTCAACTGGGTTTGCAGAAAGCCTGAAAAACAGCTGAACCATGGGGAGAAGTCTGCTCCCTGCTGCTCTGCTGTTTCGGGCTTTCTTGTACAGTCCCTTTAAACTTTACGCAGCTGAACAATAGGGAGCAGGCTGCTCCCCGACAGCTGTTTTTGTGGATTTTGCAGGGAATAGAAAGGAGTCCCTTTAAACCCCTGCTTTCTGCTCTATGGAACTGAAAAAGGACACGAATATCAGTGTTACGTTTTAGTATACAGGACTTGCACCAAAGTGAAGTTTTTTAATTGCCTTAGGCTGTTCCCACACAGGGGTGCAAAACAGCACCTCCACTGTGGAGGCAACAGCAAAAGGGCAGAAGCGTGTGGGGGCATGTTCCTCATGCCCCATCCCTGCACCACTGGTTGCTACCACCACCTCCCCCCCCCCATTGCATCAGTGGACAAGTGCACCAGCCCTGCAAGAATCTTGCTGCTGCCCCCAGCCTGGCAATCCTCCCTCACCCCCAGCAGTTGATCTGTGGCTCACAGAGGAGCTCAGGCTGAGCTGTTAAAATAAAGTCCTGTTACAGAGCGGGGGGTGGGGCCGAGACAGAGTGTAGCACCACCATTTTGAAGGTTGCATCAGACTCCACCCCCTACACAGATGGCTGCAAGCAGAGCCTCCACACAAAGACTCTGCCCGGGCCATTGCATTGTTTCTGTTTTAAGTCAGAGCAAAGGATGTTTTTCGTTGCTCCATCTTAAAGGGGAAACCCCTGGGAGCCCCATGAGCACTGCTCAGAATGAGAAGGATCTCATGTGGAAGATCTTTTAAAAAGTGGTGAGGGACAAGGTATGTTCCATATGGGGGGGGGGGATCCCTGCGTGGAAGCAGCCAGGGGTGCCAAAACAGACCCTTGCCGTAGCAGCTAGGATTGTGGGAATGGGTAGGAACAGTGTCTATATTCTCTGTTCCTGCACTGCTCATTGCTGCTGCTGCTGTTCCCCACCTCCCATTCCTCCCCTTTCTCTCTGTTCCACTGGGACCAAGGCCCTGAAACCCAGCCTGTAGCCAGGATTTTTCCCCAGGGGGGTGCTAATTAAATTAACATTTAATTGTGAGCAGGGGAACCTCTTCTTCTTGGCACCCCCCTCCACAGGCTGCTTTCTAGGCTGCAGGGCCTGGTGAATGGGGGCAGCAGCACCCCTAACTGAGCAGAGGAGGAGGCCTGGCCTTCTGGGGTCTTTTGCCTGGCAGGCGGGGTTCGGTGGTAGGGGTGTGCAAAAAAAGAGTTCGGCCAATTCGGATTTGGCCGAGTCGGGCAGAATCAATTTCGGCTGGCAGTAAGATTCCCGCATGTCAGTTTCATCAGTAGGAGCCATTGGGGAGTCTTTGGCCAGCTGAATGCCAATTTCAGCCCCATTATATCCTATGGGTCATTGAAGTCAATGGCGAAAACATAGGATATATTCTGGGGGCTGGAGGGGAGGGGGCTAGAGGGAGAGACTCCAAACTTGCAGAGCAGCTGATGGAGCCTCTCCCCAAGATACCAACCACGTTTCAAGACCATTGGACCAGGGGGTCCAATTCTATGGGCCCTCAAACAGGTTGCCCCATCCCCTCCATTGTTCTCTGGGTGGGAAAAAAGATACTTTTTCCCCACCATAGAGAACAATGGCAGGGATAGGGGCAACCTGTTTGGGGTCCCTTAGAATTGAACTCCCTGGTCCAATGTTCTTCAAACTTAATCGGTATCTTGGGGAGAGGCTCCAGCAGCTACCCTGCGAGTCTGGAGCCTCTCCCTCAAACCCCCTCCCCTCCAGTCCCCAGAATATACCCTAGGTTTTCGCCATTGACTTCAATGGCCCATTGGATATAATGGGGTTGAATTGCCGCCGAAATTCGGCAGCAATTCGGCCGCAGGCCGATTCAGATCAGAGAATCTGAATCGGCCTGCAGCAGCCCGAAAGGGGTCCGAATGGGCCATTTT